TCCAACCCTAACACCTACCTGTAACCATCACCCTTTATTCTACAACCCAAAAATTAAGTCTTAACCCTCAAACAGCATTTGAAGTTGTGAGAACTAGCCAAAATGTGTTCACAATGATAACACTGTTCATAAAAAGACATCTACAGTACACACATGCAAACTCCATCCTGCCTCTCTCATTCTTCTGTGTTCATGCCTTCCTGTCTTTAGTCTTCCTCTATTGCTTTTCCAAAGTAATCTCCATCAGTCATGAATTCATGTGCGCATATGCTTGTGCTTGTCTGTCTGTGTGTGTGTGTAGGCCGCTATGTGTGTGCTTGAGTTCAATGTGCGACGTCCCTTTAAAGGGTTTCCAAGTCATATTTTTCACAGAAGTCCCTCAACAGGAGAGGAAACTGCAGCTAGCCTAGGGACTGAAAAATGTGCCGTCAGCCTCTTTCACTCAATGCATATCTGTGTGTGTGTGTGTGTGTGTGTGTGTGTGTGTGTGTGTGTGTGTTTGTGTTTAGACAGTGGATATGGGAGGCTGAGACTTTGAAAGTGATGTTTCTACTTTGTCTTAAAGTTAAAAATGGGAGTAGGAGTACAAAAACAGGAGTCAATGGCTAGGAGTCAATAATCTCTTAATGGATCTCTCTCTCTCTCTCTCTCTCTCTCTCTCTCACTCACACACACACACACACACACACACACACACACACACACACCATCTGTATTTTAACACTCACTGAATGAATGCATCCTCTAGCCCCTTAGCCCAATGTTAACCATTACAACAAAATGCCTAGCCCTAACTTAGCACTAACCTAATCCTAAAACCAAGTCTTAACCCTCAGCCAGCCCTTTGAAGGTGTGAGTTCTGGCTAAAAACATCTCACAAACATGGTATCAAATTAAAAATGTTCCACATAACCAGAGAGACATAAATACACACACGGTGCATTGTAGTGCTTATTGTTCATATCAGAATTATCTATAGTCTATAATTAATCGGCCTGGGTAACTGAAACAGTTCTCCTCTGTTCTTAGTCAAAGGTTAAATAAAAATTGTTCAAACATGTTTTCTCCAGAAAATAATTTGTGTGTGTGCTCATTTGTGTCTTTGTACATTTGTAGTTTTTCATTTGGTGCACGTTAATATTCATCAACTTTTGCATTTATATCATATTATACATCCCTGGTCATCTTGAGCTAAATTTGATTTGCCATTGTTTGAACCCTTGAACCAAGTAAATCTATATATTTTATTTCATGTTAGTAATACATAAACACCACATGCCACATTGATAGATTCACACATAATAAATCAGATGAAAGTCTGACTTGGAATTTAGCTGATCAATTTACTGAGTAGAAAACTGATTGGAAGCAGTAAAATTTCACATAATGTTCTTTTGGTGTAGGATAGCGCAGTCACTATTCTGAACAAGAAAGTAAGGCCCTGCATCAGTTTCTTCATATAGGTAACAGCACTTAACGAAGGTTTGGAAGAAGTGCCAGTAGTGCTTCATGTTGCTAAGCGACAACCGCAGACTCACTTGAGGCGAGGCAATCTTTTACTAAAACTTGAAATATTTATAACTTTTAGCATTTGGCACCATGAGCGCTAAACAATGTTAAGCTCCCAGCTCCAGCAGGAGTGTGCACCAACACATCTTTTAGATTTGAGAAATGCCAACATTGTGGAGGGAGGATCCCAGTGGACCCATAACCAAAGGCTTAATCCATATTATTTCCAACAAATCCATAGCTATGGCTGTAGGTCTAACTTTGGATGAAGCTATAAGTTTCCACACACAAAATGAATTCCAAACACAGAGGCAACAAATATAAATATTTAAAGTTTTATATGACTTTTCTTTTCAGGGCAAACAGATGGAGATACTGGTGAGAGAGATGGGAGAAATACATGTGACAAAAACTGTCCATCCAGGACCCCCGATGCATCTGAATACAAAATATTATCAATACACATCACTGTTAATAACAGAGGACAACTTAAATTTTTCTCTTTTTTGTTTTATGATATTGAAATGTAGGATGTTTTACCCCTAATGTGATAAAGACAACTAGGAATATAGACAGATCTTGCTGTCTGTCTAACCTTCCTCATCTTCCTAGTCATCTCTTTTTCCATACCTCTTTGTCTCTTTTTAGGGAAATTGATGATGATTATCTTGTCTTGCAGAACTGGTTTGCAAACTTGCTTTTTATCAGTACAGCCTAGCGTCGCACTACTTATAGCTTTATTTGACACACACACACAGACACACAGACACACCCTTCTGTCTTCATCCATCCCTCTCTCAGGCAATTGCAGGCTTATCAGTTAGCTATGTGTTCAGACTTAGTTCAATTTGGTTTCTTTTAATAAAAGGATAGAACAGAGGAAAGATCTGTTAACAGAACTGGCTATGCTAACAGAGAGAGGCAGGCAGGCAGGGGAGACAGCTTGCTGAAGACCATCAAAAGACAGGCCTGGATAGATTCTTTGTTAGTGTGAATTAGTCTAAATGAACAGAAGCAAAGAAAAAGGGAGGATGGTTAAAAAAAAAAGTCTAGGGCAGAAATAGTGTAGAGACAAGGTAGTAGAAGGAAGCAGGAACATGTTGGAAATCGTTTTGAATGTTAAGTGTTGTTTGGCTGAATCTAATCATGTTGAGTTGAGTTTAGTGGTTTCTTTCATAATTCCATGTGGGAAATCCGGTTGCCACATGAATTATAAAGAACAACAGCTGAGCTATAAAGACACAACCATTAAAGATCAGAATCAGAATGAGAATTAGAATCAGCTTTATTGGCCAGGTGTGCTGGACATGAGGAATTTGACTCTGGTACAGCGGCTCTCAATGTGTATGTACATATCCCTATGCAAGGCAACAGCAAAGGGCAAATAAACAATATACCAACATAAGGCTGTGTAGTATAACAAAATAAACAGTGTAAACAAGCAATAAACAATGCAAACAGATAAAGGAATGTTCATTAGGACGCGAAATAAAATAGAATAAAAATAGAGACCTGTATGGATCTGTATAATATGCACAATGTATATTTACCAGTATTGCACTGGTTCTTGTCCAGTCATACTGTCCTGGGTTAAGTGTTAATCAGAGTGATGGCTCGGGGAGAAGAAACTGAAGATGAGGTGAGTTTCAAGACATTAACAGTAACCACTTTAGTCTTGGGTAAATGACTGCGATATATGACTGAATTCAAATATCTTCCTCCTGGAACTATTGTAAGGGCCGAGCTCTGTTCGACTTCTCTCCTACAGTGATGTATTCAGCTTAATCTATTTAATGTGATATGAGATGGGATTTTAAGATTTTAAAGATGTGCATGGTTATAAATTCCTGACCCTATGTGGGTTTTCATCCAAATGTAGCACCGACTGCAGCCACATTTTGAGAAAATCACAAAAGATTATTTGAATAAACATGCGTTTCCATCCACTACCTTTATCCAAATGGCTGTAGTTGGTTTGTCAACACAAAGACCAGCTAGTGTTTTCATTCCTTGTGGGGACTTTATATTGACTTACATCATTTCCTGGAGACATATCCTAACATTAACCTAAACTTAGCCTAAACTTAACCTTAAACTGTCACCCTAAAATTCTGTGATTTACAGGATGACCAAGTCCCCACAGTGTCAGTGTCTAAACAGGATTCAGTCCCTGCACTGAGTAATACCACACACAGTACATATACACAAAGACATGAATCATCTTTTGACATCTTGGCCATCAATGCAAATCAAAGTAACAGGAAAAAAAATACATTAGCAGAAATAACTGTCAGTTAGACACATGCACACACCACATACACATTGGCATATACACACAATCACTCCTGAGGCAACAAAAACTCTTAAGGGTCCCCACAGATGTGAAAAGACACAACAGAAAGAAGAAATAAAGAGAAAGTACTTCCTGGAAAAAGGTTTAATGGCTGTCATAATTTCTTTTAACATAGACAAACACACAAATGACACCACCAAAACACAGTGATAGAAAGATTAAATAAAGGTGAAACAGACACACACACACAAGGATGGTGTGCATGTGTATATCAGGCCTCTTGAGTTTGTCTTTGATATTTAGATGTTTCATGATGAACAGTTATACAAGCGTAATGGAACACACTCTGTGTGTGTGTGTACATCTTCAAAAGGTCAACCTAAGCATTTACGTATATCCCAACTGACACACAGACATACCACATTTTTGTATACCACATTCAAACACACATGCACCTGAACACCATGAACATGCACTTCTCACACACATGCACCTGAACACCATGAACACCATGAATATGGAGGAGTGACTCTAGAACATGTATACACTGAGTAGTGTATGAATTACAGTAGTGTCAAGTGATCTAGGGACGACCAGGACAACAACTCTGGGCGGAGAGCCACCCACACAGAACGTGAATATGAACTGAACACAAACAGGAGAGCTCCCCCTCAGTCTAGGGACATGTGCACATGAATGAGAGTTTGCCCCTGAAGTGGCACAGAGTCCATTACCAACTAACTCTTATCTAATTTCTGATTCCAAACAACACACAAGGTGACTCTTATTAAAAAGAGACAATGATGATTTAAAGATGTAGTTGATGATTAAATTGATAGCCTGTATTAGTTATCCTCTAATCAACAGCAACTGTGAACAATGTGTGGAACATTGCCATCAGCTCCACCCCCAACATCAAAGTCACTCCAACCAGCTGCAGACATACTGTCATTTGGATACCTTCTAATAAACAAAAATAACTTTAAATACAGTGCTTGTTGTATATGCTGTGTGCGGGTCAGTGGTGATCACAGTCTGTCATTTACCGCAGCATACTGTGGCACTCGTCCCTTAAAGCTCATTGTTATTCACACAAAATTTCCAGAACGGTCTGTGTAGGTCACCTTTGTCATCACCATTGCCTCAGAAATTATGACCAGCATCCATACATCACTATGCACATTCTCCACCATCTTACCTTCATATACAGCTTTGAAGCCCTGGGCGCTGACGGCAAAGTCTGTGGTGAACCACAAGGCCAATATAGATCCACTGCTGACTATAGAGGAGGGCAGCATGAATCCTGATAACCTGAAAGACACAAAGAAACACTTAAAAAAAACCTCTCTTAAACACAGCATGAGAGCTGATGGTTGAGTTCTGAAAACTAATGTTGAGGCACCATCAATCTGAAAACCTTTAGAGAAATAAATGAGAGCACAATACAGCTGTCTTCAGTACTATACATGTTGATGATGTGGTTAAGAACCTCAAACCTGAAATCATAAAGATCCCTGCTGGCCTGAGATCAGATTCGTCCAAGAAATTATTTTTTGTGTTTTCCTGACTCTATGCTACTCTCAGGTTTCCTGCTGTCTTCTTCGTCGGAGAAATAGAAAGTGAAGCCAATGATTTTCCCACTCTCTAAAAATAAATCTGCCACTGAGCTACATGCAGCACATGATCAGCCATTCATAATAACCAACCATGTTGTGAGCCCAGACACCCTGAAACAGTAAAAAACATGCTGTAATTTCAGAGTTAAAACGATGAAACTAACATGTGATTAGAAAAGTCAGGTGTTGTTTGACTTGTATACAGCAAGGTGAGCCCTTGATTGCACTGGAGTACATGCTGAAACAGCCTTTTGAGAATTAATTGAGAGGTGATGGTTAAACGATTTAGGGAGGAGAAAAGGGAGGATTCAAAGGAACAAATTACACAAAATTGAAGAGCTGAAATTGAGAGAGATAAACAGTGTACTGACCTGCCTATGTAATGATGCCAAAATAATGTAGAGGAAAAAATGCTTATATAATGAACAGACAGTTATAAAATGGAGATATTAACATTTAGCATCAATACTCTATGATGGGAAGTTTAAATGATATCAAGGTTGAGCCAATAACTGAGCTTGCTGCACTTTTGATCAGAGCAGATACTGTAGATTTATTATACAAAGGTGCTTAATTTACCAGTAGATGTTGGTCCCAGTCTCTACCAGAGCTTACAATACAGTTGGCACATTGGTTGTATGGAGTAAACAAAAATGGGTATGAGGTGAAAATTTAGCTTCTTGACATGTTTAGATACAGAACATGGTCATCTTTGGTTCCACAAAAGCTCAATATCATACATTGAAAGCTAAATCTTAAGTTAAGCACCAGCAAAGGTTTTGACTGAAATAAAATACACGCTTGGGGAAAACTAAATTACCAACTTTTTTTCCTCAAATGGTTAAACAAACAACAATGTAGTAAAGTCTGTCTTCTGTGTGTGTCTGTTGGACTACAGAAAAGTGGTGTCCTGTTGCCTGTTCTGTTTGTGATTTTCTAGGTGCAGCTAAAAAGGGAAGTGTCAGTTTTGACGATCTTTTACATATGGCTGTCTTCGTTTTATGAATCCTTGACTTCCAGAGCACACTGGCCGAGGGTAAATGGTTAGTATCAAGTTCCTCCAAGACAAGGCCATGGTGCTTTGCTGCATGTGGCTGATTGCTCCTTTGAACTGGAAGCAAGTTCAAGTTCTTGTGTTCCCAATAAATCTACAGTATGCACCAATCCTGTCCCCAGAGGTCCGGGTAAAAAGGAAGAGACGGATCATGCAAGTGGCCAAATCAAAACACCTTCATGGGATGCCTGAGCTCATCCTCGGCGTTAGGATGAGGTTAGGATTACTCTGGGTAAACCACTGCTTCTTCTTACCTATACCTGTGGATGGCCCCCTATGGCAATATTATTTTCATGTCCAGCTGGGAGAAGACCTTGGGGCAGACCAAAAGCCTAGCAGTGGGAGTACACATTTGACCTGTACTAGGAACAACCTGGGTATCCCCTAGGAAAACATCTGAGGAGAAGGATGTCTGGGCCCGCTTTGCCTAATCTGCTGCCACTGTGACTCTGCAGTGGTAAGACGTTGTATGGGTGTATGGGTGCTTATAGTTGAATAAGGAACTGTGCATTTAAAAACACTGTTTAGCTATTATTTTAATTTTCCACATACATTTTGATTGTATCAGTATAAGAAAAGCAGGAAATTAATAAGTATGAACTGACACCATTTAACTTTTGAGTGCTCATAAACTATAGGAAACTGAAATCCTCAAGAAATCAGGAGAACAGGGCTTGATTGGACAATCCTTGATCATGTCAGTTTTCCTTGGTTCACTATGTACACACATATCCAACAGTAAAAGGTGAAAAGAGACAAAACCAAATGGAAGCAGAGTAGAAGAAAAAAATAAAGGGAAATGAAGACAGGCAGGGTTTAAGCAGTAATGTAATAAAAGCAATGATGACAATGAGTCTCGTTTCTGCATTACTGGCAGTCATTCTATACTAATTCAGTTTTGATCATTTCAAAGGTCAGATACTGTAGATCAACGGAGAGGTAGGGCAGGATACAAAAAAGAAAGAGGGAGACATAAAAAAAACATGAGAAAGGAGAGGAAAGGTGGATGGACAAAGACAAAACCCATTTAACTACTGAACAACACTAGAGGACAGTGAAAACACAGAACAGTAAAAATGAATAATTTTAATTCTCTGGCCTCAAAGCAAGGACACAAAAACACAATAATGGATGGAAGGAACATATGAAGAGTCACAAAGAGCAATGGAGGGAAGGGGGAGACAGAGGAAGGAAGGACAGAATGGAGAGGGGTGTGAGGAGAAGGGAGAAGGAAGAGAAAGGCTTTGCTTCTTATAGGCATTATGGGTGTTTGGATATTTTGAGACTGAGCATTCAGGTCTCTGAATGATGTAGTTTGGCTCTATTCTGGCCAATACTGATTCTGTGAAAAATGCCCGGATTGGCGTGATACCAATGCTTAGTGTTGGATTGGGACATCTGTAATACATACGGATATATAGCTGTGTGCTGCATTTTTGGTGAAGTGAATTCCCTGGTCACAAGCTATAATAAATCACGCTGGTGGCCAACAGGGGACATCAGTTGCATTCTCACATAAATATTTGACCACTCAACAAATAAAATATGAACAAAGTGAAATGGGTCTAACTAATTATTCAGAGCAAGCTTTGCTCCTTCATTTTTAATTTCACAGGCTTATGAACTTTCAAGGGCATGTTTCCTCTGGACCAAGGTTAGTTTTTGGCAGTGGTTAGAGATTTAGAGCGAGGTTTGCTGGTATATACTCTAGGACTTCTATTGATCAGAGAGGCACTGCCTGCATTATGGAGCTACCATGGCTGCTACTGAAAACTGCGGAGACTAAACATAGATTTAGCTCATATTAATAAATTAGGTATTGATCATACAGATGTGTCTTAAATGTTACAAATCTTCACGAGCAGCGCAAACGGTACACTTTAAACCAAGCACCTTGTCTACACCCAAGCACAAGTGTTTCATATCCCCTTTCTTTGATCGTCTGTCTCTGGGAATAAAATGGTGGTGTGATTTTTGTCTCAAATGGAGGATTGGCCAGGAGACAGATGAGAAGTTTTTTCATAGGTACTCACATACACACACAAACACACAAACACACACAGCCAAGATTGCCAGTCAGTCAGTCAACAGGTAATGAGCAGTAATCGTCTAGCTGTCACTGTACTGATGGACCAACATGATTCTATATCCCTGTCTAGCTCTGTTTCTCTCTTTGTGTCATTCTCTCTCTCTCTGTCTGCCTCTGCTCCAGCTTCTTCTGCTCTCTTTCCATCTCCCCCTCCCTCCCGCTCAGGTCAGCACGCTGATCCCCGGTGGTTTGACATTTATGCAAAAGTAAGTCAGCTGGGTTTAGAATATGTCACTGTTGATCCAGTCGGTCAACTGTCCAACCAGTCAACCTGCTTATGTAATCAGACAGCCACTCAGTGATTCCAGCCAGCCAGTCTTTACAGTCAACCGTCCAACTGGCCAGCTTGCCCATGTCATTTCTGTTGCTTCCATATGTCTGACTGCCCATCTGTATCTGCCTGTTTAACAGCCTATCTCTCATTCTGCCTGCAAGTATCAGACTGTTGGCATGTCTGATGTTGACAGATTCTTATGCTAGGCTTACTGTGTTGATTGGATGGCAGTACAGTAATAACACATACCATGATATTGGAAAACAGCATCATTGTTCTTTTTATTACAATCACACGACCACTTCCACAGATGACTCATGGGAAAAAAGCTTTGGCATAAGTGTAAACAGTCACTTAAAAGACTGAAACTGGTGTGGCTTGTCAGCAACTTCAGACATGTATAAAATGATAATGAAGATTTCCATAAACAAAGTGACAGCTGGAGAATGCAGCTGGGAATATTTCAAAATGAACATTCGCCTCTAGGAAGAAGATATGTTTTCCAAATTCAGCTGTGACCCAAGCATGGCACTGAGTCCAAACATATAGCATCTACACAGTTATTAATATTAGGTGTATTCAGGAAAAGAGTAAAACACAAAGGTGGAAAGTAGAAAGGTTTGGTAACAAACATGTCACATTTACTAGTGCATTATCTTTGTGCAGTAATTTTCACCGTTCAGTCCCACTACATCCACATGTCACCCCCTGGTATTAAAATTAGCTCCTGACACCTTGTACCTGTTAATGCCAGTGAACCTCAGAGGACAAACATGTGACTTCAAAAAAGTGATAACAGAGGAGGAAAACAGATGGAGCTTTTATTCAACTGAGTCAGTGCAAAAAGAGCTGTTTGTATTTTGGCTAAAAATGGGTTGTTTTGCTAATAATAGATGAATAAGAACCAGGTCTGTTTCTATCTCAATAACACTCTTCCATGAGCGACGTGACAGGCCGAGAACATACAGCCATTGCACATTTACTATCAGGAACAAGCAGTGTAGTTAGAAATGCCCCAGCTGTCCAGCTGCAGTCTAGGTACAAAGGGTTTCACAAACGGGATAGTGAAGCTTTCTATTTATTGCCACACATTCAGGTATTTGGCTTTACCACACTCCATATCTATGCTTTCAGAAAAGTGAAAGTAATGTTGCCTTTCTTATCTGCAAATGTACACATCTACTGTAGAGCAAAGCCTGATGGCCTTTAGCATATCCTTGAAGTCTACTGGTTACAAGTGGTCCACCAAGCAGAAACTTTCAATAACTCCTCATCTTC